TGAAATTTGCTCAGCATTCAAATGTTCTTTCGATGAATTTGTAGGAGAGAAAGTGGTCTCCCCGTCCTATTCCTCCGCCATCTTGGCTCCTCCCCTTACTTCAACTCTTTTAAATTTTTGTGAATTGTTTTATAGTCTGTATTGGTATATATTTGGTATATATTGATATATATCTTGGTATATATATTGGTATACATATTTGGTATGGTATACATATTTGGTATATATTTCTTGGATGCTTGAAAAGAATGTAAATTTTACCGTTTTCTTGATGGGGTGTTTTATAAATATCAATTAGATCTTATTAGATGGCCGTGGTATTGAGCTGTTTTATATCTTGCTGATTTTCTAATTGTTCTATCAGTTATTGAGAGAGGACATTGAAGTCTCCATTATGAATGTCAAGTTTTCTATTTCTTCTTTCTGTTAATATTACTTTTGGCCCATATATCATGTAGCTGTCTTGTTTGTTGCATACACATTTAGAATTACTTCGTCTTCTTGGTAGACTGATCCTTTGCCCGTCTCTGTGCCTGGTCATTTTCTTTGTCCTGAAGTTATTTGATGTTACTAGAGCCACCCCTGCTCGTTTTTAAAAGTTTTTTCATCCTTTTACTTTCTACATGCCCATATCATTATATTTGAGGTGAGCATCTTGCAGACAGCATATAGTTGTTATGTTTGTTTGTGTTTTTTTTTTTTTTTGATTGACTCTGTGAACGTCTCTTCTTAATTGCTGTATTTAGATCATTTCACTTAATGTACTTACTGATTTTAGTGCTTAATTCTGCCAGTTTATTTTTTTTTATTTATTTTTTTTCTGTATACAGAGATTTTATTCAATTTTAAAAGAAAACAAGAACTTTAGACAATGCTTTGACCCTGTAACAAAGCAAATCTGTCCAGCTTTGAACCAAATTCCAAGAGTAGCCAGCTTCTATTTTTCAGCAGCTNCACTGGGAATTCCTGCATTGGGCATTCCCGCAGCAGGCATTCCTGCATTAGGCAGTCCCGCACTGGGCATTCCTGAACTGGGCAATCCCGCATTGGGCATTCCCACATTGGGAATTCCTGGAACTGCAGGATTACCTGGCACATACATCTTTAACCCCTTTTTTCCTTGGGCAGGAGGATTTTTCTCAATCTCTCTCATATCTTCTAAAGTAACTACATGAACAAAAGCTTCTCTCCCATTAAGTTTTTTACGGTGTAAGCGTTCAGACTTACGTGCATCATCTTCATTTTTAAACTGAACCAATGCCTGTCCTAGACCTTGCCCATTGTTATCAACAAGAACATGTACAGCATTTTCATCCACTGGGATTCCTTCTAGGAACTGAAGAACATCCATCTTGGTAATGCTGAAGGGAATATTTGTTATATGGGCACAGACTTTGGCAGAGGTGACATCCCCCTCCGGATTTAACATCATTTCCCTCTGGTCATAGCTGAAGTTTTGCAGTCTTTTTCGAATCATATCTATCTTTTCTAGCATACCTTTCTTGGTAATTGGATGAACTTGAATAAAGCGATTACCCATGTATTGTTTATGACGACACAGAGCAGCCTTATAGTCAGCCTCATTCCTGAACTCTACGAAGCCTTCACCCGTTGCTTTCCCATTGGGTCCATAAGCAATATAAATACTATCTTCCACAATATCCAACTTTTTAAAAAAATCAATGACATGTTTGTTTTCTGCTTCAAATGGCAGCCCTTTCAAGTAAACACAAAAACCAGCCTCATGTGGTGATCTTGACCTTGACCTTTTCTGCCCACTGGGCGATTTTGACCTGGGAAGTGGCTGAGGAGGGGGATGGGTTTGTCCAGAAGGTCCTATACTTTGCTTAAAAGTGATATGGCCTCCAGCAGCTACCCACTGTCTCTCTGTGGCAGGACTAACTTCCACATAGCGTTGAATCATCAGCATTCTGTTTCGTTTCAAAGCTTCAAATGTATCTTGAGGGGAGAGAAACTTAACCAATCCATTCCCATTATTTCGACCTACATGATCTTTCAACAAATGCACCGCATCAACACGGAGCCCATGGAAAAAATCTCGGACATCATTTTCCATTGCAGAAAAGGGCATTCCATGCACACTGACATACAGATCATCAGGGTTGATGGGAAGTGGTTTCACACTGCTTTGCGAGTTCATCTGGACAGGATTAACAGGATTCAATGGACCCAGAAACACAGGGTTCAGGTTATTGTTCAGATTCACAGGTGCTCCAGAGCCATTCATTCCAGCAGGTAGAGGTGCCACAGGTGGCGGGTTCAAAGGTGGCATGCCTGACATGGGTGGCAGTGGGGTCATGGGTGGCACAGAAGGGACTGGGGGGATTGGGGGCACAGGAGGCACAGGAGGCATTGTAGGTACCGGAGGAGGAACTGGTATTGGGGGAATAGACGGCATTGGCGGCAAAGATGGCATCGCTGGGATTGGAGGAATTGGTGGAGGTGGGACTGTGTTCATTGGAGAAGCTGTGCTCGGAACAGTTGAGCTAAACGTTGGGCTCCCAAAGGAAGCCCCCATATTTGGAGGAGCCGTTCCTATGCTGGCTGTGGAAAATGTCTGTATGTTTTTGCTGCTTTCATGAACAGAAGTGGTGGCAGTAACTACACTGGGTGAAGGATTATTAAAGTTGGGTACTGTTGTAGGCAAGTTCACCCTGCCACTCATTCCTGAGCTAGGTGGCGGTCCTGATCTACTAGCATTTGCCGGTGGTATATCTAGGTTGGCAGTTTCAAAACGCCTACGACTCAGTTCAATCATATTCTGCATTTCCGTTTTACTACTCAACAACAGTGTTACTTTTGACCCTTTAATTGTACCACCTGTGCGCATCATACCAAGCCTTGCATCTTCATCAGTGGCAAAAACGATGAAAGCCTCACCCAGTTCACCCCCTACAATATGCATGCCCCCATCAGGAATGGTCAATCCAGAGAAGAAGTGGCGAATGTCCATGGTCCCCGCCACAATTGGGAGACCTTGCAAACGGATAACCACAGCCATGCTGCGCTGAAACCACACACACCTGATAAAACAAGAGATGTATTTTCTTAACAAGAAGTAGAGGTCAAGTCAATCCTGTGGGCAACCAATTAAAACCAACTTTTAGATGGCCAGCCAGAAGATCAGAGAAATGGAAGATAGTCACTGCGTTTTAGGCAGGGATATCTAAAAACCTCTTTTGCGCAACCGTTACTGACAGAAGTTCTTCCTATTTCATTTTGGGACACAGTTATAATCTCTGCCCCACGTGGGGGCATAGAGAATCTCGTTAATTCGGAATGTAGCGAGTTTTCACTGCAGTTCCCGTTCGTTTGTGAGCCGCTGGGGCACCCAGCTCTGGCTTCCTCCCCTCTCGAACAACGGGGGCATCCTCGCTATGGCCTCATGCCCTCTTCGGTAGGCAGGCTCATCCTCTCTTGTGTCCTCCTTGCATCCTCTCAGGACCGAGAGGCGCAAGTGGCGCCCCAAGACCCCCGCAGCCAAGCCCCGACCCTTTTGTGTAGGGCGCTCACTGCGGCGGGCTCCGAGGCCCCAGTTTATTTTTAATTTCTGTTTGCTCTCTGTTTTTGTCCCTACTTTCTTTTTCCTGTATTCCTGCGGGTGACTTGAAAATTTTTTAGAATTTCATTTGCTGATTCGTGTATGGTGTTTCTGCATGTATCTTTCCGTATGCCATTTTTTGGTGTTTCTTGGCACTACATCATATATACATAACTTGTCAGGGTCTACTGATGTCAGCATTTTACCAGTTTGAGTGAAACTCTTTCCACCCCTTTACCACTCTCCTCTGTTTATAATGTAATTGTGTTAAATATTTCTTCCACATACATTTAGAACCACAGCATGCAATGTTATGTTTCTTCAGCTGCCAAATGTAATTTAGAAAACTTTAAGGAAAAGGAAAGTCTATTCTATTTACCCATATTTTGTCTCTTTCCATGATTCCTTTTTCCTCAATGATGTCCAAAATGTCTTCTTTTATCATTTCCTTTCTGTTTAGAGAGCTCCCTTTAGCCATTCTCTCAGAAGTCTGTTGTTAATGAATTCTTTCAGTTTTCATTCATCTGAGAATGTTTGGATTCCCCTTCCATACCTGAAGTGTGATTCTCAGCACTCATTTAGATCTTCTGTTTAGCTGGCTTTCTCTGACAATGCTCTGGCAGGGAAAGGGGTGCACTGTCTCATTTCTGCCAGGTAGCTGTGAAAATCCAGATTCTCCACTTAGCCTTCGTTGACACCAAGGAGGTTGGAGCTTCTCGTTACTGCTGGGCAGTGATGATCGTTCCAGCTCCCCACTGGGCTTCTGCTAATACCACCCTGGGTGGGGTGGGTAAGAGTGCTTCATTACTGTTCCCCATGTGACCTCCACTGACATTGAAAGGAATGGGTTGTGGACTCATGACCTTGTGGAGGGGCAAAGGTCCTGACTCTGTGCAGCCTCCTCTGACACCACCCTGGCAGGAGCAGGGGAGATGACTCAATTCTGTTCGGGGTGGGGTGGAGTCTAGGCCCCCAACTGGCTTTTGCTGATGGGACTGGGTGGGACCACCCTTTTGTCTGTGGTGTTTAGCTGAAGAAGACTGGCTCTTGCATAAAAGTTTTCAGTCTTGGGAGACTGCCCCTTTTCTGGCCCTCTGAGTAAAGAGAGGAGACTTTTGCAGGAGCTATTTTGGCTGTGCTCATTGGTACTTCGGGTTGTCTGCTTCTTCAGTCCCAGTCTGGGATCTATGAGGCAAAAAGAAAACCCAGGGAGCTTGCCACTGCATCGTTCCCTATGTCCCAAGGTCTTTATCCGGTTTGCTTTCTTCTCCCCACCTTTCAGGGTCTTCTGGTGCTTGTTTTATATGTAAGGCCCAGACGTTTCAGTTGTCCGCAGTGGGGGAATGGGGAAAGTACTTCTCCACTTTTCCAGAGCCAGATATGTGGACACGGAAATTTTAGACCTGTGTTTGTCCTGCCAAGGAGATCTAGGGAAGGAGAGCTTCCCTCATACATGAATCTCTTGGCAGAGCTCTAATTCCATGTCTACATCCTGAGAAACAAAAAGAAATAAAACACATCTGCTATCCCTGGGTTTGCATGTCTGCTGGTCTGTCATAGAGGGCATCAGCTGGGACAGCCATGATCGTGATTGCAGCCGGTTTGGTTACCTTTTTGTAAACCAGTGCACCAGAGTTTCGTGAGCCCCCTCCAACAGCCATTGCTTCCTTCCAGTGATTGTCGGGTCATGACCTATTAGTTCGCTCACTTGGTTGGGTGCTCACAGGGGCACAGTTGGCAGGTGCCCCTTCTGTGGACCGGAGGCTTCAATAGAGCTGAAAGGGCAGTTAAGCCATCACCTGATCCAACCACCTTGGTTTTCATATTTAAAAAAAAAAAATTCTGTGTTAGAGAACGGAAGATCTCATGGTGTCCCACCGAAAAGCCTTCCCTGCCTTGAAGCCCGATGTCGTTTAGTCACATCGGGCTGTTCCTCCACCCATCCCTCAGCTCTCCAGAGACTGCCATCTCATCCCAGCCAACTGCCTACCAGAAGTGCCCCTCATCCCTGGAGGTTGGAAGGGCTCAATGAGGGTGGTGGGGTGGAAAGAGAGATAAGAAAAATGCACGTAGCCAGCTCCACCCAAACCTGTCCTCGGAATGCAAGTCTGTGATTCACGGGGTCAATGGTCTCATCTTTGTGTCTGAAAGACAGTGTACTTTTTGTCTCCCTAAGCCCTGTGTCTAGGTCGTTTGGGAAGCGCCTGGGAGAGTCAAGAATAAAATTGCAGGTCAAACAATGGATGACTGGAAAAGTCGACTTGTAGTCAAGAGCATGTTTCCCCATTTCGCCGTGGTGGGAAATCGTCAGGAGCCCAGAAAGCTCCAGGAATCGGTCAGATAATGGGCTATGGGGGGAGGGGGGCTTTGAATGTTTATAACCATAAACTTGAACGTAAGATGTGTTGTTGAAATTCTCTGTGCAAACTTCGTGGCGAGGTACCAACCCCAAATGTAAAGAAACTGAAATGTGACTTAGAAAAGATCCAGGAGATGTGCTGACCCTGCCCCTTGTGAGTTTCAGGAAGAGCAGGAGAGTCCAAGGCTCTGTCTAGATTCCCAGTCCAGCTCTCTCTGCGTACACCCCTTCAACTAAGAAGAGATGAAGGGTGAAAAGGGAAAAAAGTGTACTCTTTCTCTTAATGGAAGCCAGGAATTTGGGGATGACAGGCACTGGATGTATTATATTAGCTTCCTAGTACCACTGAGAACAGGAAGCCAGTGAGTAGGGCGCTGAAAGATACTCCCATTTGACTCTCTGGCCCTGATGTCCTTTTAAAAACTCACCTGACAAATTTCTGCTTGCCTCCCTCGGAACTCAGACATCATCCATGAGTGTGAAACTCAAGAGTTAGGGATTCCAGAAGTAGTCTGGGGAGCCAGGATTCTAGAAAGGGACATGGGAGCCATTGGTTGGTTGACTGACAATAAAAGCCTGCAACCTCACTAGTCTACCAAGTTAGCTTAGTTACTAGGAGGTGCTGCAAGCACAATGACTATTATCTCAGTGCATTAGGTCCACAAAGGAGTGGCTTGCTTAATCTTGGCAATTAATAGAGCAGAGAGGAAATGGCTCTTCTAGACCCCTGGGTCTGCTTCCTTCCTGTTCAGAGAAATGGGAGCTGGGGGCTTTGGGATAATGTCATTTCACATAACTAGAGGGCCCAGCTTCTCCAATTCCAAGGGCAGTCTACTTTGAATAAGTCAGTTTTCTATTTAGGTGAGAATTCTGATCTTTGCACAGCTGTCAGGGAGTGAGGACATGGTTGAAATCTTTTTTCTCTTTTTTGACCTCATTGTCCACCACTAACAATATACTGAGAAGGCGGTATCTAGTTGAGACATTTACAAAACTTTGTTTACTGGAGTTTCAGCTCAAAAAGGATACCAATCAGATGGGATGGCAGAGAGGGAGCAGTTACTTACCTATATCCTGTCCTCCAAATTGCCAGCCCTCCCATCAGGCATCTTTCCAAGTCAGTCTCCACCCTCCATCCCCATTACCCTTTCTAGCTCTTGCTTCTCTTTTATGGTCAAGAGTTAAGTCTGTGAAGGAAAACCTCTTGGTGATACATCCAGAGACCATGCTCAGTTTCGGTGGGTCTTGCAATTTCTCCTTTGTTCCATACTTGTTTCCATCCCAAGGAGAAAAGTTTGTGGTGGGGGTTGAAGGTGCAGGATCCTCTTCCTCTTACCCCATGAGCCCCAGCACCCCTGTGTGTGACTAGTTAAGTAACCTGTTTGCTTTTGACTGGTATAGATCTGGATGTGGGATGGGTTCCTCCTAGAACATGTCCTCTGAGCGGCCACCCGCGCCCTCACTCTGAAGAAGCAGCCCTGGCTCACACCATTTCTGGGCTTGGCTTCTCTTTGCAGGTGGCCTTTAGAGTCCTTTGTAAGCATGGCCAAAAATGCACATGCATTGCTTTAGCATCACACCTTGGACCTGATCAAAATCAGCCCTTCTCCCTCCTCCACAACACCTCTTGTTCTGTGGCTCTGAGTGAGCTGGTTCCAAAAGTCCAAGCCGTCCTGGAAGACCAAGGACCTGCCTCAGTTGAGCATATCCAAAAAAAGAAGCCTCAGGCTCCAAAAGCAAGTCTGTCGGATAAGTCCTCTTGGCAATAAAAGCCATGTTCATCTTCCTAGAAGATGCCTGTGGCCTCTGAAAGGGTCTGACACTCAGGGAACCCACTCTCTTGGCTGCGCCTGATGGGTAAATGTGGAGCCTGGCCGAGCCAGGCACTGCTGATATGGCCACCAGTAGCCGGGGCAGCTCTTGGTTTGAGCCCAACTGACTTCTCTTGGCTGGTCAACCCCGGCAGCTTCAGTAAGGTAACTGGTACCCACATGGAGCTCTGCCCTACACGCCCCACATGCTGAGTAGCTCAGCAACCCCTTGATTGTGGACAGAGAACAGACAGATTCAAAGCATAATGGCCAGTCAGTTCACCGTGAAACCTGCTGTCCAAACGAGTACAGGACCCAGACTGGTAGCAGCAAGAGGCTGTCCTTGGCGGGAGCAGGGCTGGTGCTTCTCAGGTGTGGCCTGGACTGGGGTCTCGGCTGTTCCCTGTGCTTGCTTTCCCTCGGATGCTTTCTAGTGTCAGCCCCATCCTGAGAAACTCTGTGCTTCTGGAAGCACGTCCCTAACACCACCCTGTCCCTTCCTGCCAGCATCCTCAGTGGAGAAGGTCTGATGCAGACATCAGCTTACCTGGTTTTCTTGTCCTTTTCCAAGAAACGGACTGACAAAAAAACTACTTTCAAGTCAAGATCTGTTCATAAAATTATATCAGTCCCAAAGGAGAGTTCTTTTAAACAGCCTGGGATCGCCATGTGAATCACTGTGAGTTCCCATGCAGGAAAACATGCATCCGATGTGATGATTGCTCTTGGCTTAAGACCAGGGCTCTGGACACCTGATTCCAGTCTTGCTTCTGCTCCTAACTAGCTATGGGGCTTTGGCCATCCTTTGCCCACCCTGAGGACAAAGATCAAATTAATCAGGAGTAAGAATAGCCACTTTTATTTCAGAATTGACTAGGTACCAGGCACTTGCTAAGCATTCAGGGTGCCTTATCTCCTGTAATCCTGAGAATAACCCTGAGATAAAGAGGCTATCTCCAGGAAACTGAGACTCAGTTTAAGGAACTTGACAAAGTCACAGAACCAAGACACAGCAGAGCTCAGAGCCTGCTTTCTTTGCTGATGACTTCTGCTGCCTCTTGGCTCTGAATCATGTTGAAAACCACAAAACCCTGAGTACATGTCAGGTGGGAGTAGTTATCATAAGAAAGCACAGCACCCTCTCAGCATTTGTTCATTCATTCAGCTGCCTGATTGCTTAATGACTTGTGTGATCTGGAGCTTTACCTTTTGAACATTTGGGCATCCACTCCAGCTTAATAAGGCATCCAGTCCCGGCAGTGAGTGTATGGAGTTTTAACAGAAGGCAAAACATTTGGCCCCTCTTTCTGAAGTTAAGATCTCCATCCATTCCTCCCCCAGCATGGTGACTGGATTGATGATAGCACACGAATCTCTCAAATACGAGCATGCCAGGTGGGTGTGCTTTGGAGCTCGGGTGGAATTGGAACTCAGTTGTCTCTGTCTCAGTCTACACCCCACCCAAAGTTGTAAAGATTCCCCAGCTCTGAGCAGCCATCTATTCCGTTCATAAGGCAGCTCCAGATGAAATGGAAGCTTTAAGGTGTTAGACATACAGTCAGAAAAGGCAAGGCATGCCATGCTCCTGGTGTGTCCTCTGTCCTCTGCATGTCCTCTTTCACCATCCCCCAGAGTTTGCTCAAGCTCATGTCCATTGAGTTGGTGATGCCATCCAACCATCTCATCCTCTGTCATCCCCTTCTCCATTTGCTTTCAATCTTTTCCAACATCAGGATCTTTTCCAGTGAGTCAGTTCTTCGCATCAGGTGGCCAAAGTATTGGAGCTTCAGCTTCAGCATCAGTCCTTCCAATGAACATTCGAAGTGGATTTCCTTTAGGATTGACTCATTTGGTCTCCTTGCTGTCCAAGTGACTCTCAAGAGTCTTCTCCAGCACCACAGTTTGAAGCCATCAATTCTTCACTGCTCAGCCTTTTTTATTGTCCAGCTCTTACATCTGTACACGACTACTGGAAAAACCATAGCTTCTTTCCCCCACAGCCAGTCCCTCTCATCAGGAAGCTTGCACAAGCCTCTTGTCCTCATCCATCAGAGGGCAGACAGAATGAAAACCACAATCACAGAAAACTAACCAAACTGATCACATGAACCACAGCCTTGCCTCACTCAATGAAACTATGAGCCATTCCATGTAGGGCCACCCAAGATGGATGGGTCATGGTGGAGAGTTCTGACAAAACGTGATTCACTAGAGAAGGGAATGGCAAACCACTTCAGTATTCTTGCCTTGAGAACCCCATGAACAATATGAAAAGGGGAGCTATATCAGGGGTCCCCATTTGGGTGGTCCCAAGTGCAGCCTGCTTTGAACCCGTGGTATGACCTAAACCAACTGCTCACCCCTTCTTCTTGTCACCTTGAAATGCAAATGGAGCTGAGGAAAGGGGAGAAAGGAGCCTTGTCTGTCTGTCTGCTTCAGATAAAGGAGGAGGGCTGTTCACTTGCTGCCATGCTAAGTTTGGGACTTTGTGCCCATCAGCCCCAGAAGCACACCCTTTTGTTTGCAAAAAGAGTAGAGGGGACTCAGTGAGGAGACCTCGCATTTCATCCCCAGGCTCTGCCTGGCACTTTGTGTGAGTAAGTCCTTTTCCTCCCGAGGTCAGAGGGCCCATGCTGCCAATTTTCTGGGGTCCTTCCTGTGCACCCAGCCCTGTGCTAGACACTGGGCTACAACAGCTCCCAGTCAAGGGCAGATTTCTCAGACTTCCTCCACTGGGAACAGATCTGTCCTCAGAAGCTGGGAGGAGAAGGGCGTGCTCCTTCATAGACAGTAATTTGTCTACTCCTGTGACACACGGACCAAGATCTCCATTTCACCAGGGAGGGGACCGAGGGGCTTTCCCAGTATTATATGGGCAGTAGGTTGGAAACTCAGATCGCAAACCCAGGTGCCCTGACTCCAAAGCTCCTCTTCCTTGCCTGCTTCCTATTTCCCAGTTGTGAGTTCAGACAGACAGTCTTCCCCAGTCAGGCACAACTTGGGGTTCAGGCTATAGCAGTGGACAGAACAGAGCCCTAGATTGCCTGGACAGTCCACTCCAGCGGCAGACGGCTCATAAACAGAGATAGAGTGGAGAGGCATCTTGACTTCATACTCGTGGCTCCCTAGAACCTTCTGACTGGCATCACCAGCTGCCCAGCCTGG